CCAGAGCAAAGTGAAGAAATCTCCTGAGACATTTGGATGCCAGCCTGCTGCAGAAAGCATCTATAGAAGCACTGTTAAAGATGAAACAAAGCACCGTCACCAAGATCCTCACTTTTTTCCTCCTCCGTTTTATTACCTGCCCTACCTGTTTTATGGGATGTTAGGTAATACCTCTGGTGGAGGACATGTCATGCGCCAGTGTGTTGTAGTGGTTAAGAGCGGTGGACTCGTAATCTGGGGAACCGGGTTCGTGTCTCCGCTCCTCCACATGCAGCTGCTGGGTGACCTTGGGCCAGTCACACTTCTCTGAAGTCTCTCAGCCTCACTCACCTCACAGAGTGTTTGTTGTGGGGGAGGAGGGGAAAGGAGAATGTTAGCCACTTTGAGACTCCTTCAGGTAGTGATAAAGCGGGATATCAAATCCAAACTACTACTACTACTACTACTACTACTACTCTTCTTCTTCTTCTTCTTCTTCTTCTTCTTCTTCTTCTTCTTCTTCTTCTTCTGGGGTAGTTTGCCCACCTTTGCACTCAGCTCTCTCCTGTGGCGCCGAGAAGCTGTCAGCATGCGACAGTGGCCACACCCTGAGAACATGTTTGACTGGCTGGCTACACCAGGTGAGGAGACCCGATGAGTCTCAAACCCTCAGTGGTTTAGGAACTTCCTCTGCATGTGAATGCAGGTTACAGTAGATTGAGCGGAGAAGACTAATAGTGGTTTTGAAGGTCAAGAGGGCAGTCTCTGCATGTGCTGCAGAGGAGGAAGTGAGGAGCAGATGGGGCTCATCACCTGGGAAGCTAGCCCATCTAGAAGGAAAACTCTGATCCTAAACCTCCACCAGTGATGCGAGTGGCACTGTGGTCTAAACCACAGAGCCTAGGGCTTGCTGATCAGAAGGCTGGTAGTTCAAATCCCCATGATGAGGTGAACTCCTGTTGTTCGGTCCCAGCTCCTGCCAACCTAGCAGTTCGAAAGCACGTCAAGTGCAAGTAGATAAATAGGTACCAGTCCCGCGGGAAGGTAAACGGCGTTTCCATGTGCTGCTCTGGTTTGCCAGAAGCAGCTTAGTCATGCTGGCCACATGACACAGAAGCTGTACCCCGGCTCCCTCGGCCAATAAAGCGAGATGAGTGCCGCAACCCCAGAGTCGTCCGCGACTGGACCTAATGGTCAGGGGTACCTTTACCTTTACTTTTAAACCTCCACTGCCCTGTGGGATATGTTCAGGAGGAGAAAAGGCAAAGGAGTAAACCCTACACAAATCCAGAGTGGAGTCCCTAAAGTGGTTGGATGGGGCTTTGTACACCTCCTTCTGGCAACTCCTGCAGCCAAGCTGGTGCCAAGCCTATTGCTCAGCTTCCCTTTGGAGCACATCAGTGAGGCTGAGAGGGGAGATCTTGACATCTGGGCAGCCCAGGACCTCCATGCATACTTCCCAGGCTTGCACACCATGGAAGGTCACTTCGGTGCTGCTGATGCAGCGGTTTGACTTCTCCCTTGGAGGCACACTCCATTGTCTCTCGATGCAGACGGACGCCCACAACCTGTTTCAGGTGACAGCTCACAACCCAATAAAGTTGAAAAGAGGCATGAGGGTGGCAGGATGGATTTCTCACTTCCTCTTGATAGATGAGCAGCATTCCTAACAGAGCTGAAAAAATGCCTGGGACCTCAGTTCCCAAATTATGTGCAATCCCTTTCCTGGTCATCAGACAAGTTCTTGCAAAGGCAAAACCAATCTTGGATGTTTGGCCACTCTGCTGGGTACATAATCAGCAGCTGTCTATCTCCAGGACCTCTTAGCTGAATTCCTGGGCAATCACAGTGTGTATTGCCTATGATCTGTACTGGCTAATAAAGGATTCTACCTGAGTAAGCAGCTGAGAAGCCAAAGCAAAGAATTCTAGTGGGCAGGAGAGACAAAGACTTTTTGACCATCGTTGCAGTTAGCAGCCCTTGGTTTCTATTCATACTTTTAATTCATCTAAAATCTGAAATGAGTTTTAGAAGCAGATCCAGTTATGCGGCAGTGAGCAAATCCATATTTTTTAAAAAAGAAAAGCATTGGTACAACTGGTTTGCCATGAGAACATTTGGATCTCAGGTGGCATTTTTTAAAGTGATGTCTCTTTTAAAGTAAATAGTAGGTGCAAGTGGCTCCCTGACCTGAATCAGGACCCTCAATGGGGTTTTTGAGGGATTTCACCCTTTCTTCCCCCTGTGGTTCTGATTCGTTTGTGGGGGGGGGGAGCACACTGCTATTTGCAATGAAATAAAAGCTCCCATTTGCAATGGAAACTTCCAATGTAGTTGCTCGTTGAGTAAATGGCATCTTGTCTAGTTGGGGCCTAAGCAAGCAATCTTATAAGTGGGTTAGGATCCAATGGATTTACAGCTGAGCTGGGAGGTGTGCTAAACCCCCCTATGCAAAGGATCATAAGGTGGCTTGCGGGACAGATGGGGGGGACTCAGTTCCTTTGGGGCATGAGTCAGACCTGTTGTGATTTGATGTTGCCCCATGCAAATGGAAATGGCTGCCCTGAATATGCAACTGGGCATTGCAGAGGGAGAGCTGTTCTAGACAAGCTGTTTATTAAGCATTTAGCCTGAATGTTATCCACCCCATTTGTGTGGAAATTGCAGTCCAATTTCTTTGATTGGTTATATGATGTCGTCCAACATCACCATTAACGGTCCCACGCTTTCCAGTGCATTTTTCCTGTCGTTTTCCTTACAGTCCACAAGAGTGCCAAATCCAATTTAACAGTGCAACCTATATGACTGAATCGCACTTGCTAGTCAGCAAGACGCTGGAAGTGGCCAAAGTCATGACGGGCAAACTCTCCTTCAGGGCCCCTGCTGCGGACCATTATTGATTGTTGTTGTTGTTTGAGCACCAAGAGAGGTCTTAGACTCTCGCTCAAGGGCTCACAACCAAACAACGAACCTCTGACAGAAACAAGATGGCTGCATCCCCTTCCTGAGAGAACTTCCTGTTGCTGCCCTGTGCCACTTCCATGCCAGGCAATTGCTCCAGCCCTTTGGGGAAGGAAGGGGCAGGATGAAACACGCTCCTTCACCCACCTGCCCACCTCTGTGGTTCACCTAGGCCGCATCACACAAGAAGACAAGGGACCTGCTGAGCCAAACCTCAGAAAAGCAGAGCTAGAGAGGGAGCAGCAGGCCCCTGTAAGGAGAGGCCTATTAAAATTCTGAGCAGGCACCAGATCCGGGACAAACCAGCTCTCCCCTCCTGCCACTTGCAGGTGACGTCATAGCTAAAGGAGTGTGGGGGAGGGGAGACTCCATAATCCTCCTCCTCCTCCTCACTGCAGGGGATGGACTTGGACAGATCCACCAAACGGCAGGCACCAGCCGCCCCCGCAGCTGCTGCGGAGAAGTGGGGGTGGGGGAGGGAGAGGGAGGCGGGGGAGGGGGATTCTACCGTGCTATCCCCACCTAGGCGATGGAGGGAAGGACGGGCGGTTGCTCACGCTCGTGTTCCCCACCCCACCACCCCCTCCCCTGTAGCTCCTCTCCATCTTTCTCTGCAAAGCCCCCCCTTCCCCTCCGTGACCCCCCTCCCCGAGGCGCCTCTAGAAGCCTCACTTGATTATAAAACTCCGGCTACAGCTCTCACATTCTGCAGTGGTGCCATGAGAGAGAGAGAGAGAGAGAGAGAGAGAGAGAGAGAGAGAGAGAGAGAGCTCACTACCAGCACGTCTTGTCCACATCAACACATTATCGCTAGCTTGCAACGCGATCAGACAGATAAGCACTCGAAATCCCTCCCTTTGATTTGTACACATGGGTGGGTGGGTGGGCACACAATTATTATTATTTTTTTGAGTCTCCAAGGGAGACCCTAACCCTTAAAAAAAGGAAGTTCGGGCGCGTCCTCCCACCCAATCCAGCGCGCAGGTTTACTCGGAACCGACTGAGACTGCAGTCCTATAGACCTCCACTCCCACCCGCCGCCGCCTCCCCGAGAGTAAACCACACTGAGCTCAAGGGGGCACATTACTCCTGAATTGGCAGGCGCTGTGGGTTTGCTCTCGCTCAGGTGAACTGCCCTGACTGCAACCACCTGACCCCCAGCTGCCCCCCACCCGCAGCAGGAGCGCAGCCAAGAGCGTGGGCATTACGACTGGTATTTCCCCACCTGGGCGCTGCTTTCCCGCATTACATAACCGGGCGGCGGCAAATGCAGCCTTTCAGAGTTAGCCAGGGACACACGGACATGGATGAGAACCGGGAGACGCGTGGTGAGGCACGTTTGCGCGTGTGGACACAAATAAACTTAGCTGGAGAGGGCGTTTTGCTTTGGGGACGGTGTGGTTCATCCCTAAGGGGACCACTCGCCGCTTTCCTCTCTCCTTCTCCACGAATGCAAATGTTGCTCCATCTTTCCACTGAGCCCCACAATCAGGGCAATCGCTTGCCTGGCAGAAATCTTCAGGGGGCGCCGATGCCATCCCATCCCGTCCCCCACACCACCACCCACTGCGCCCTTCTTGCGCCTGTTGCTCTCCTCCTGAGACCACCTTTCTCTCCATGCGCGCCTAGTCCCTGGCCTGTTTGCTCGCCAGGAGACCGTCTGGCCGGCGGTGGTCGAGAGAGAGAGCGCCCCCTGCAGGCCTGTCTGGAGCCTCGCCCGGCCAAGGGGAAAGCAAAGGTGCGACTGCACTAAGATGGGGAGAGCGCAGGGCCAAAGGGGCCTGGACCAGGCGAGAGGAGGGGGGGCGGGTCTGCTGCGCTTTGGCGCCCGCCAAGGTGCGCCCCGAGGCCCACGCGCTCCCTAGAGGTCTTTCGGGGTCACTCGGAGCGCGGCGACTGCAAAAGGGGAAACCGTAATAGTGGAGAGGGAAGAGCTGGCTAAATCCAGTTTGCAATGTCTATAAATGGCGTTTCTCTCTTCCAAGGTGCACATTTTTTATTTTTGAAAAAAAATATCACTCAGTGTCATCCCTCACGTCAGGGCTGTTTGTGGGCGTGAGGTTTCACTTCCTCCGCCCCCTCCTAATGGAGTGAACCATTCCCTGCTCTGCCTTCCCTCTCTCCTTCTCGGTCTGTTTCTGCCCCCTTTCCCTCGATCTCTCTTCTTCTTCTTCTCCAGCTCGGTGTGCGTGTCGGTGTGTTGTAAGAGGAAAAAAAGAGAATAAATAATTTAAAAAATAAAAAAGAACAGGGCAGAGCAGAAAGGAAAGGAAAAGTCTCTCGGCTGCTCGGAACTAGTTGGCAATGCCTGGGGTGCAGCGGCCCCCCACATTTCCCCAAGTCACACTTTAAGGAAAGAAAGACAGGGAAGAGAAAGAGAAACGAAAGATCTGCAGTCGCAAATGGTTGTACTCAATATAGGATGGGACTTAAGTTGAACGGCAGATACATTTCTCTGGTCCTCGCTGTGCAGCTAGGTAAGTGGACTCACACTTTCTTATGGAAGCAAGGGATTGGGGGGGTAGGATTTTGAAAGGGGGGGTTGCCTTCAAATGCACCAAAGTATGCATGGAGTAAGTAAGCAAAAAAAAAATAAATATATGCAAAGCAACCCGTAATAGGCAAATTATTGCTGGCCAAAGATTGCCAATAATTTGTGACAACAAGACTCTGCAATACGAGGTCTGCAGCGCCGAATGTCTCTCTTCTCGTTTTTGTTTGAGAAAACACAGTTTGCTGGTTGCTTCAAAATCTCCCCCCTTTAGTTCCCTTCCCCCTGCCCAAAAAGACCCCTTCCTCAATTGCATTGCTGTCTTGCTTATTTCTTGCCCTAAATATATTCGCACACGCACGCGCGCGCACAAAAAGCTTTCATCTCTGGAGGGCTGCATACTATTTGCCAAAGCTAAATTCATCCCCCCCCCCCGCAACCTCCGGGCCGAAAAATAATAAGGAAATAAATGGAGAGGGAAGAGAAATTAAGAGAGATTGGTACAAAACAATGTAATTCCACCACTTGGAAATCCGAATTTGCAAAAGGGGAGAGAGAAAGCACAAAAATCAAAAGGCAGTTTGAAGTTTCTGTCCCAACTGCAATCGTTTTACAAAAGTATACTGGAGAGGAGGAAGAGGGAGCCTCTTGTATCAAACGGTGAAGAAGGAAGGAGAAATCAAGGCGATCTTTGGCTAAGGTGGCTCGGGTTTTCTGAGCCTCTCTCCCTAAAATATTTGTTTTAAAATACTTATATTTGGACGGGGGTTTACTAAAAATAGCACGGACTTCATTGCACGTTGGGGAGGGGGACCCGGGGCTGGTTTGTCCCTGGTTTTGTTTGATGTGCTATTCAAGGGTCCTCGTTTGAATGCTGTTGGGAGTTTATGCCTCGGAGGTTCCTTGGGAGTTAAGCATCACTTCGGGTTCTGCATTGAGCAGCATTTAGAGGCGAAACCTTCTTGTTTTGCTGCGGTGGTAGGAAAGGTAAATTCGACTGGCAGCTTAACTGGGAAGCGTGCCCTTTCTACGTTTGTCATGGATGTAGATTTAAAGAACTGCAACCCTCCTCCCCCCTTCGGAAACGCTCCCCTCCCCTCTAGCTCCCTGTCCCAAATCTGCAGATCTCGGGTTTATTTCACTTTCTCTCGCTCTGTCGCCTGTCTCTGCAGCTTTTGAGAAATAGAGGCGGCTGGGGAGCGGTGGGGGAAAGCGATCATTGTCAACTCCTGGAGTAATAATAATAATAATAATAATAATAATAATAATAATAATACAGACGAATAAATAATACGAACGTAAAAATAGAAGCAAGAATGGAATTAATTGCGTGCAGGGCCATCCTGGGAGAGAGAGTGAGTGAGTGAGTGAGTGAGTGTGTGTGTGTGTGTGTAAAAATCCCCTAAGGTTGTGTCTTGACAACGTTGGAATTTCACTTCTGTGTGCATTTCCATATTAAGAAATAGCCTCTGCCTCTATGTCCGGCTAAGGTTATTTTCCAGGAAGAGACACGGCATTGCCCTTGTCCTCGGAAATGAATTTGTCCATTTGTTTCTTTCACCATTTGCAAGTCAGGATAGTCCTCATGCAGAAATTAGGAAGGCTAGAATCGGGGAGGGACACCCACACGCAAATATATGTATATTTTGTGTCTGTGTGTGTGTGTGTGTGTGTGTGTGTGTGTGTGTTTGTATAGGAAAGGCAGCTATGGAGATGGACTGATTGAAAAACAAAGCAGACTTTCCGGGATCACTTTTCCCAGAAGGAATCAAAAGGTTTTGATTCCTTCCCCCTCACAACATGACCATTAGACAAGCCAAAATCTTGCCTGGTGTTAGACAGTAACATAACATCGGGCTTTGAACATCTGGATATCGTTTCTATTGGCAGAGTGCTGGAATTTGGGTTTGGAAATGGGAAATACTATGAGTTAAGGATGTGTGTGCGCTTCAGAATATATGCCCTGTTTTGCGGGTTGATCCTGGTGCCTCGAATGTGCCTGAAACGGGTGACCTTTTGGGCCAAAAAAAAGGCTTGCTGAATGAGACAAGGCAGGAAAAATAGGGACTCCGAATGCTGGGGGGGTGGGGAGATGAAGACCTTCTGAAAAACAGAAACAGACCTGGGAGGTGCAAAAAGAGTGCCCGCGCACACTCATACACACACACACACACACATCTACACACGTGTCTGTGTGTCTGCCACACATTCTTCACATCTACCGTGCTTTTAGATTCATTAAAAAAAAAAAACAGCCAAAAGAGCCCAAATCACGTGTGCGATTTGTACGCTGTTGTGAATGAGGTTTTGTCAACCTTTCATAAGAGCAAACGACCCTACGTGATGGGCAGGAGAAGAGGGAAGGCGCTCTCCAAGGTGCTGATGGTTGTTCTAGGGGGGCAACAGGATGGTGGTCAGTTTCAGGAGCAGAATGTTGTTTGCTACATGATCCCTTCTCTTCCTGTGGCAGCCACTACCAGGTCAACTAAACAGGTGGGAGAGGAGAGGCGCTTATTCTTAGCACTCCTCCGGTTAGCATCGTCATTGCCACCCTTCACACTTGGTTGCAAGGCGGGCGGGTTGAGGAAGACCGTCAAATACGTGGGCCGAAGACTTTCCTTTGGGAACATGCCCTTTCAGGATGCCTCAGCCGAGGAGAGACAGCTTTAAAACGCAAGGGGTGTGTGTGTGTGTGTGTGTGTGTGTGTGTGTGTGTGTTTAACAGGACGCGCTATACTCTGGGGATGGTCTCCTATGTGTGTTATTTGTTTGTAGGTTCCAGTGTGTGTGGCAGCCAATGTCTGCAGCCTCTGCGTGTTTTGACGTGCTGGGGAGTGGGTTAGAGAGGGAGGGAGGTGGTTACTAAATCAGGTTAGCCATAAATCAGTGGGAGGGAGGGAAGAGGGGGGTTTCCACCGACACTCAGCATTGTGGACAGGACCTCTTTTATTCCAGAACCGATTTCCCCACCACACCACCACACACACACACACACACACACCTTTAAATGGTTCGCTTCGATCCTCTCTAAAGGAGTAATAAATAAATAAAAACTCTCTCTTCTACTTGCAATCTCTAATTTACCCTGTAAATGTCTGGGCAAGCGCACTAAGCACACGGTGGAGGGGAAATGGACATTTTCCCTAACCCGCTTGCTTTGGAAGGCTGTGGCGTTGGGCAACGAGAGCCGCGGACGGTTTGCTGGGGATCAAGCCAGTGATCAATTAAACCAACAAGACGCTAATTCCCTTTCATTTGCTGCAGGATTGGTAGGGATAAAGCCCCCGTATGCTTCTCGCTAGCAACACACCTGCTCCTGCAAAGCCAGAGACATTGCTGCTGCTGCGGCTGCTTTTAATATGTGTGATTGTGTCTGTGTGTGTGTGTGTGTGTGTGTGTGAGAGAGAGAGAGAGAGAGAGAGAGAGAGAGAAAGCAATGTAGTCAATTCATCAGCGCGCAAGCAAAAATGACTCAACTACTCCCCACCCCGCTCACTCACAGACAGAGAGAGAGAGAAAGAGCGCGTTGCAGTGATGAAGAGAGAGATTTCACCCCCAGTGCAATATACCATCATGATCAAAGAGCCTTTTGCCTTGGGTTGGGGGTAGCTTCCCTTTGGGAAAGCGTAGAATGAACAACGAAGTCCTTCAGATTTGTAGGTGTCCCCCCACCCTTGATGTGATGTCTGCTGCACCCAAAAGAGACGTCAGGAAGCCGTGTGCCCCCCCGCGCCCCCCAGGGAAGGGTCTCCAGGCTTCAGGCTTCCTGCAGATCTTTCAGAGCGACTTGGGGATTTCACTGCGAGAGGCAGAAGATGGATAGTGGAGAATCAGTGTCGATGATGTGTATGGTGGATAGAGACAGCAGAGCAGACGCTCTTGGGGTGGCGGGGGAGAACTCAGCCAAGGCGAGTGGTGGAGAGATTAAATGAGACAGGGTGAGCCCAGAGGATGTTCTTCTGTCTCCACTTCAGTGGAAGAACCTGAATGGGGAAGTCACAGGCGAGGAGGAGGAGGGACCAAGAGCGAGGGATTAAGCATGCACCGAACATGTCAACCTCCCTTTAGGTTCTCACTGATGCAAGTTACACATTAATAGAAATTCACATGCGACTAAGCAACTCACTGTTCTCCCCGGTGCATTGCATTGCATCCGCTATATCGCATTTCCAAAGGGGGCGGGTCCGTGGGTGCCCGTTCTTGACACAATTCTCACCATGCAACAGGGGAAGAAATAGGGGGGAAGGTTTTCTTGCAGGAAACAATTTGTTGAAGAGAAGACCTACATGTATGCCTGGTGATTTCTATTCCAGACTTTTTTTCCTCCATCAGTTCCATTTTTCACCATAAAATACCCACCAGCTTCAGTTTTTGAAAGGCTCTGCAGATTGCTACAACCTACTTGAAGGTTAAGCGTAATGATTATTAACTACCGCTAAACTGCTGAAATAAATTTGACGTTTTTTGAAGTTGACTTTTGCTTTTAAAAAGTAAGCGAAATTTAGAGAAACGGGGGAGGGGAGAGAAAGATTTTAAACTCCATTCCAAATAATTCAAAACAGTGTATCTTTAAGAGGATATTATACATATATAGATATTATACATATATATGGAACAACTTGACAGAAATGAGGTTGCTATTATTGTAAGTGATGCAACTGCATTATATTTGTTTATTTAAGGGACACTTTAAAAAGAAGTGTCAAAAGACGGTTTGATACGTGTGATCTCCATTTAAAATATATCCAATTAAATGATCCTGAGAGGGAAAATGACTTTTGTGATGAGAACAAAGCAAAGCAGATCCTCTTCCAGCTTTGAGACGCGTGTGCGCGCGCGTGTGTAGATGCGTGCGTAGATGAAGTGTGATGGATAGGATTGATCACAGTTCTCTGGAGTCGGAATTCAGGGTTGGGTATCGCGCGCTGTTTACCTTGCTAGGAGCTGTCCAGTTGACGTGGTGCTGATCTGTTCCCCAGCATACCTGGTGCAAGCAGTCAGAGCAGCGGGCAAGTGCGATGCGGTCTTTCAGGGCTTCTCGAACTGTGTGCTCAAGATGGGCAATAAGATTGCCACCTACCCTCAAGACCTGGACGACAAGAGAAATCTCGAAACAATCTGCCGGTAGGTGCACCTCTTCTTGTTATGGCTCTTCACGGTGATTCTTTACTTTATAACACTGTATACATGTGTGAGTGTGTTTTGCGGGGAGTGGGGCTTTGACTTTTTTTTGAGATCTCTATGCTACTGTCATGTGAACCTAAAGCTCTGTAGCCAGACAAAAGGCTACCAGCTTGCCAGAGGAGTTGTTCTTTCATGTGTAGTTTGCTTGCACGCTGCACAGGCTTAATCCTCAACAGACTGAAATGCTAAGCTAAATATAACCATGCAAAGCACGCATGGATCCGTTGGGCGCAGTCTTCACCCTGTTAAAGTAAATGGCAACAACCTCGTCGTTTTAACACCCCGATGTTAAGCACCTAGAACTGAACGTAAAGTCTGTCAGAATTCAACGGGATTTGCTTCCAAATATGTGTGCATTTCATATCTCGGCTCTCACTAGGCCCTGTTACAATTAGGGGTTTTCAGATTATTGTTATTATTCTGTTACATTGTGCGATGGTTCTTTTATTTTCCTCCTGATTTCTTTTTCCTAGTAACAATAATCAGCAGGACAGTATTCACATCCCTGCCTGCTCAATTAATAGCGTCATGCACATAAAATGCATAGGAACAACAACTTTGCTTCCACCCCCCAAAAAATTGGTATTATCCCTCTGGGGTTTGAAACGGTAGTTTTCAGTGCCTGAGACAAGGCTTGCAGCAGAGGTGTCCGGCTCTATTGTCTCCTTAATCCACTAGGAAGTGCTTTTAACGGAATGGGTTTATTCTATCTGAAGGTATGATGAGGAATAGCTACCCAAAATGAGCGAAAGGGGTGGATAATGCGTTAAAATGCTAGCGAGGGCTGGTAAAGTTTTAGAATGTGATGTAAAACTGCGATGTAATCTCACAGTGCACCGCACTATAATTTCAGTACAAATGTCTGCTTTGTCATGCCATGTGGTCACTTACTATAGTGTTGTTTTGTGTGTGTAATGTAATACAGCCCATATTAAACTGAATCGTGATAATGTGTTGGGATCCCCACCCCATCCGTTGTAAGAGTTGCTCCAGTTAAGGTTGCCATGTGTCCTCTTTCTCCAGGGCACGTCCTCTATTTCAGGGGTAGAATCTGAGACAAACTGCATTCATTTGCTTTGAATAGCCGTCATAGCGTCCTCTTTTTTTGCCCTTCAAAATATGACAACCCTACTGTGCAGTACAGAGCGGGGATTCAAACATAGGTCTCCCTGTCCCAAGCCTCCTTATAGGACATCCCTTTAGAATTCATATTTTAAAACGAAGACATTAAAAAGTTTTAAACTGCAACTGAACAGCCTGGTGTGGTTTTTGCAAGCCATTTTTGGAGCCCCGAAGGCGCTATGGATGCAAGTGGTCTTGTTTCCCGTGAGAGATCATATTTCTACGAGGCAACCGAATCTAAATCCCAAACCAGTGGACAGACTGTGTGCGTAAATTTGCCTTCCACCTACTCGCTGCAAAGCAAAATTCGAAAACAAGATTTCATTCTACCAAAATGTCTTGAGTTAGGTTGTCCCATTCCAGTCCACTATTTAGATGGGAACTTGACACGCAGCCAAACCGTTTTCATGTTTCCTTGAGAGGAAGCCCCTCTCATTTTACCTGGACTTAACCTCCAAGTCAGACTGTAATGATCATGTTCCACAGAATCAAATGAAATTTGTTTCCAACATCACGGCTGCAGCCTGACACTTTAAACTGGTTTTGCTGGGAATGATACCATTGGATTTACTGGGATTTACTTCTAAAAAAGCCTGCCTATATAGAATCGGACTGTAAACGTGATGGCTTTCAAGTCATGATGGCTTCTGCAAGGCTTAATTGGACACCGAAACTTAACTTGCTCGAAATATTAAAAAAAATATATGCTGAAGGCATTGGGACTAATTCCCTGTTAAATCCGAGTACCCATCGGCTTGAATCCAAAATTACTTCCTCTTGAATTGTGTGGGCGAGGATAAAAGCAGCTCAGATCAAACTGGGCTGTGTATTTACCTCAAAGGTAAATCCATTCATTTAGAAATTAGTGCTTTTGAAATCACTGTTTAGAACTGGGTTGCATCTAGGCAGTTTTATTGGTTTTATTTTTGTTAATAGGGGCGGAGGAACAGTGTAGTTGATTATAAAGATGGGAGCCGAAATTCCAAAGAGAATTGCCCATTCTTCCCCTCTCCTTGCAAAATCCAACGTCCCACCTCGCAATATAATAGCGAGGAATTGCCTTTTGCTTTCTATTCCTTTCCTCAGGACGTTTCGTTTGAATGACTGGCATTCCAGCTAGATCTCTATCTATATGAGACAGCAACAAAATGCTCTGGTGTTGGCAGCAACATGGCGCGGTCCTGGTGGGGAGAAATCGAAAGATACCCCTTCCCTCCAATCCTGAGAAACGCCAGCCACCGCCCAGCCATCATAATGTACATTCAGCGGAGACATTCGCTGCCCCCGCGCGCAAGACAGCAACTCCCGCTTCCCAGCCGTGTTGGAAACCTCCGTTGTTTCCCAGAAAATGTCTGCCTGGGATCCTGCTTGACAGAACAACTACAGTAGTTAGCTACAAAAAAATACAAAATAAGAGAGCTGCAGTATGCCTGGCGCGAGACAGAAAGGAAGTGGGGAGCAGGAGGAGGAGGTTGGAGGGAGAGGCGCCCCCACCAACACACACACACACGCACACACACGCACGCACGCACACACACCCTGGCCTAGATTCTGGAGTCAGAACCCCTCGCAGCTCCACGGATCATGCGCCTAGATTCTAGAGAGGTCGCCTCCTCTCTCCCTCCCTCCCTCCCTTCTTCTCTGTGCGCGCGCTCTCTCTCCTCTCTCTCTCGCCCTTGTGTGTGTATTGAAAGAAGCTCAGGGAAGATTTAGTTTTCCTTTGGGAGATGCAATTACGGCAGAAATACAGTAGAAGAGGCGCCCTCTCCAGCCTTCACGCCATCTCCATGCCTCATTATTTATTACAAATGCAGCCAGCGTTGGACTCCACGAGACCAGTCCCGAGTGCTCATAAATTAGAGTTTGGGCCACGTTTCCAACACACACACACACACACACCGCCCCCCGCCCCAAGCCATCCAGAGTAATAGCCAGCCTTAGCCAAAACGCCTACATTTGGCAACGGGGAGGGTTAGGGTATTGCTGTTGGGTTTTGCTCGTTTTAAAATCCTTTGGAGCGGAGGAAAAGAACAAAAGAGCCCTTATGTAGGCACTTACCTGTGGATGCCGGCCTCGATTAGGAGGCGCCACTCTGCTCTAAAAGGCAACTCTGCGGCACAGCTGGGACGGGATGCTGTTGTTGTTTGTTGTGCAAAACGGAATCGGTTCTAATCTTGGAACGGGGAGATGGTCAGCTTGCAAGTGGATTAGGTCAGGCGCGCAGGCGGCGCGTGCTCATTATGGCAAAGGAAAGGGGCATTATTACCTAACACACACAGGCAGAACTGAGGAAAGGAATAGGGCTGCCTAAAAGCAGTCAGTGGAAAGAGCTTGTGGGTCAGAACTGCACGCTCTGGGGAGATATCATAGCATCAGATTATATCGAAATGTTCTAGCAAGTTAAGAGACCAGTGGTGACAGAAAGGCACTCTGCACATGCTCCAACGACACCCATCATTTTTCGTGTCATGGAATTGTAGAGACCCCAAGGCTCTTCTAGATTCTTGCAATGCAGGAATCTTAACTAAAACATCCAAGACAGATGGCCATCCAAATCTGCTTTAAAACCTCCAAGGAAGGAGATCCCACAACCTCTCAAGGGAGACCATTTCACTGTCCAACAGCTCTTGCTGTCAGAAAGCTTTTCCTGGTCTTTAGTCATGTTCACAGCAAACCACCCTGGCATTGAGAGAACATTTGAGGACTAAGCCATGGTGACTTCTAGCTCACCCGCATTCGTGCCATTAATGGCTGGTGGTAATTTAGTAGGTTCAGCCATTCACACATTCAAGTAGTGGGGCCATGGGGGAGGCGCACTCTGCCTCTATATGCACCAGCAGCCCCCAAAACAGGTCACACTTTTCACCCCAACCTCTTAAGAATAGTTGATGTTATTAAACATATCTGAAAGCAGAAACAGCAGCAAGCAAGGATGCCAGTTGTGAGCCATCATCAAGTTCACCAAAGAAGGCCAAAATGAAGGCCCCTACAGTGATCTCTCTTCAGTTCATATCATCATAGAATTGTAGAGTTGTAATGGACCCCAAGGGACGTGGGTGACGCTGTGGGTTAAACCACAGAGCCTAGGACTTGCCGATCAGAAGGTCGGCGGTTCAAATCCCCCGACGGGGTGAGCTCCCGTTGCTCAGTCCCAGCTCCTGCCAACCTAGCAGTTCAAAAGCATGTCAAAGTGCAATTAGATAAATAGGTACCACTTCAGTGGGAAGGTAAGCAGCATTTCCATGCGCTGCTCTGGTTCACCAGAAGCGGCTTAGTCATTCTGGCCGCATGACCTGGAAGCTGTACGCCGGCTCCCTCGGCCAATAAAGCAAGATGAGCACCGCAACCCCAGAGTCGGCCACGACTGGACCTAATGGTCAGGGGTCCCTTTACCTTTTAATGGACCCCAAAGGTCATCTGGTTCAAACCCTTCCAATGCAGAAATCTCTTCTAAAGCATCCATGATGACCCCAAAAAGAAAGTAGGCACTGGACTACAATTCCAAGTTTCTGCAGTCCATTTAATCTGCCAGCAACCTGATCCTAAGGACAACTCTGTTGGAACTTGGAATGAACTTCTACTGAGTTAGCATTGGCACTCATTCAAAGGCGCTATGGTTCCTTGCCCAATATATATATTCAGACAAAGGTGAAGGTTGGGATGCAAATGAGAATTGCTGCCAGCCCCTTTGTGCAACCATTAAAATAGTCCGCCTAAATGTTCGTGAATATGGCAAAGTTTGCCATGTAGATATTGCCATAAAATAGGTGGCAGCATTTACACATCAGGATCCTTCCAAAGCATTGCTTATGCCCTTGACTTAAGTGTTCTTGGAATGTGCCTACTGACCAATGAACGGAGCCATGCAACTGATAACCGCTGGGCGACTTTGTAGGAGCTTTGTCAAAGATTTGTGGCTCTCCAGTACATGTTATGTTACATCATGTTTTTTGTGCAGAAATTATCCCTGTACCTTAATCAACCAAGCAGCATTTTGCTGCACTTGGACTTTACATGTGAAATCCCCTTGCTGTAAATGCATCATTGTAATTCTGTTTGTGAAACAAGCTTTAGAGACCATTGCATATACCTTTTTTTGCGGTGAGTGGGGGGACGGACCACTCACTTGTTATTGTTCTGTGCTTGCTTCCTTTGCCCCATTTTGCTAATGTAATTTGGACACTGACAGTGTGGGGAAAAATATTTTTGTTTGAAATTCCCCTTTTAGGTCTTTTATTGTATATTTAGTTTTTATTTTACCAGCTTCTTTCCCACCACAATAAACTTCCCCCGGTTCTTTAGGTGTATTTAGTGCAATCCAGACCAAATGACGTAATGCAGAAATATGTGGTTTCTGATTCTTGTGTTTAGAATACTGAGGTTTAAGCACATGTCTACTCCTAGGGCTAATTAAACCCCAATTAAATTCCTGTTACACACACACACACAGGCTCTCAGGTTATCACTCAAACTGGCTTCCCAATGTGTGGAAGGGTACCAAGATTTAATGCCAAGAAGACTCAGATTTAGCACCTGTTTTCAGTATCAGGACTTAGCCCCAGAATATGTGAAGTAATAAATTACCTATTTATTTATTTTGTATTTATCATTTACATTGATACCCACCCTTTCTTCCAAGGAGATTAGGACAGCTAACACGGTTCCCTATCCCCCATTATATCCTCACAAGAACCCCGTGAGGTTGGTTAGGCTGAGCATTAGAAATTTTATTTTTTTACTTATTTATTAATTAAATTTGTATACCACCTTACATCCATAGATCTCAGTGCAGTTTACAGCAATGACAGCCCAAGGTTACCCAGTGAGCTTCATAATAACAGACTCCCAAGAGGGGTGGTGGACTCCTTCCTTGGAGGTTTTTAAGCAGAGGTTGGATTGCCATCCATCATGGATGCTTTAGCAGAGATTCCTGCATTGCAGAGGGTTGGACTAGAAGACCCTTGGGTCCCTTAAAACTCCAAGACTCTACAATAATAATAAAATTATTATTATTATTGTGGAACACCCTCCCAGCAGATGTCAAGGAGATAAATAACTATACAACTTGTAGAAGTTCTGTATAGGGAAGTTTTCTATGTTTATTGTTTTATTATGTTTTTATATCTGCTGGAAGCTGGCCAGGGTGGATGGGACAACCCAGTCAAATGGGCGGGGTACAAATAATAACATCATCATCATCATCATCATCACCATCATCATCATTATTATTATTATTATTTGAGTCCTCCAATCCTGAACCACAATTTCAATGCAATTGTAAATTAGGGCACAGTTTGTGATATGCTCATGAGAATTACTTTTTTAAACTCAGGAACTCTGCCCTGGAACATTAGAAATTACAAAGAAGACGGTCCCTTTGAGCCTATGCTGAGTGCATTCCCATCGCAATTGGGAATTACACCTCTCCACTCCCCACATCAGGGACAAGGGTGGCGCTGTGGTTTAAACCACAGAGCCTAGGACTTGCTGACCTTCAGTCGGCGGTTCGAATCCCCACGACGGGGTGAGCTCCCGTTGCTCGGTCCCTGCTCCTGCCAACCTAGCAGTTCGAAAGCACTTCAGAGTGCAAGTAGGTAGCGCTCTGGCGGGAAGGTAAACGGCGTTTCCATGCGCTGCTCTGGTTCACCAGAAGCGGCTTAGTCATGCTGGCCACATGACCCGGAAGCTGTACGCCGGTTCCCTAGGCCAATAAAGCGAGATGAGCGCCGCAACCCCAGAGTCGGCTACGACTGGACCTAATGGTCAGGGGTCCCTTTACCTTTACCCGCCCCACATCCTGCCCCACCAGACACACTTTAAGGGAGGGAGTGATTCGAAAGCCCCATTTATTTCCTAAACTAAACATTGGGAGAGAGAACCTCAAGACATCTATCATGCCTACATATCCACAGCACTGTGATTGGAAGGCAGGGGGAGATTCCAGGTGAGGAAACCCTCATAGTGCAGCAGTCCTCTGCATGAAGGTGGTCCTTAGTATAAACCCTCCCATCCCCAGTTAAAAGAATCTGTTTGGATACAGGATACTGCACTCAATGGACTCTTCTTATGTTCTTAGCAGCAGAGGCTAAGAAAGAACTCTGCTGAGACACTGAAGTGCTACCACCAAGAGTAGATCTTCCTGAGCTGGCCTATGTGTTAAAAATGGGCTGAAACCCGGTGAAACAGATTTTAACTGATAGATTAATTGATGGGTCCATTAACAGATGAGTCTATCAATAACGAATCTGCATGAGAATGCAATGTTTTCTGAAGCGAGGAGCCCATTCCACTGTAGTTTGGCGATGCACACATAAACTCTACAAGACATTGTTTTGGCAGAGCCATTCCTCCTATGTGGGTGGGTGGGAATGTCTCTCTTGCGATGAGTTCTGCCATCTGCTCCTTGGGTAAGAACTTGTATCACAAATATTACTTTGTATTTTTTAAAACTCTGCTGTCCAATTATGGGGGTGACATTGATCTAACTTACTCATTGAGTAAACACCTAGCACTGACAGGGAATTCACTTTCTCCTCCTGTTCTGCAGCCAAGCAAGGAACTAATCCCAAGGTCGGCAAAGTGACCTAGGGAGGGAGGGGAGCAGCTCAATGTAGACAGAGCATGCTCAGTAGCCATGGAATGTTGGCTGTTGCGGGTGGGAGGGAAAGAGTGGGTGGAATGGAGTATCCTGGGAAAGGGAACGGCTGGCTGGCAGGAATCACACACAAACATAGGAAGCTACCATATACTGAGTACAGTGGTACCTTGGGTTACATACGCTTCAGGTTACATACGCTTCAGGTTACAGACTCCGCTAACCCAGAAATAGTACCTCGGGTTAAGAACTTTGCTTCAGGATGAGAAGAGAAATCATGCAGCGGTGGCATGGCAGCAACGGGAGGCCCCATTAGCTAAAGTGGTACCTCAGGTTATGAACAGTTTCAGGTTAAGAAGGGACCTCCGGAACGAATTAAGTACTTAACCCGAGGTACCACTGTACATCCAGCTCAGAGTTCCCTATGCGTCACAGGGGTCCTTCCCAGCCCCACCTGCAGAGTGGATGCTCTCCTATTAGGCCTGGAGGGAGGGAGGGCCTTGTGACAGCCGACCATTCCTGACCGACTTCTGTCCTTTGTCTTTTTTCCCCTCACCCCCTTCTGTGCTCAGGTACTGGGATGATTTCCATGCCTGCACCCTCACAGCCCTCACGGATTGCCAGGAAGGGGTGACAGACGTCTGGGAAAAACTGAAAGAGAAATCCAAAAAGCTTGACTACGAAGGCAACTTGTTTGTCCTGTGCAGCAAAACACAGCGGGCGGCTTCGTCGGTGGTGGCTTCGGCCTCCCCTTTGCTGCTGGTGGCTCTCTCGGTGGCCCTGGCGACGTACTTCTCATTTTAGAAGGCCGCCCCCCCTGCCCCGCACTTCGTGTAGAGCACGCCTGTCCACATGACAACGATGACGTTTCCTCCTCGCCCCGCCTCCTCTTCCTCCTGCCCACCCACCCAACTGCTTCTTCTCTCTTACTCCAGGAACTGGATTTACAGAGGAAAAGTCTCCATCTTTTTTGCTTTGGGGGAACGAGGGGAGGGGGAGATCTGTTGTGAATTCTCCATGACGCCCGCCATGACGCCCGCCTGAGAAAGGTTTGGGGAGGAAAGAGAGAGATAAACGGCCGCCACCAAGAACTGCCACCGCCACCACCGCTCTGACGACGACAAGAAGCACGTTTTCTCTCTCTCTCTCTCTCTTGGCCTCCGTAGTTTCTTTTGCATTCTGATGATTTGCCAAATGGTACCAAATGGCAGGCCCCCAAGCCGGCCAACAGCCAAAATCGGACCTCAGCTTTATGCCTCTTCTTCTTCTTCTTCTTCTTCTTCTTCAGACCAAGGTCAGCTGGAGCCCTTCTTTCTTGTGTGCAAAAAGAAATCTCAGGAACGGCCTTCGAGCCACCACCGAATACTCCTAATAAAATAAAATAAAGCGTTAATAGGTAATAAGAGTAATAATAAAACTAGAATGCTAGTGAGGACACTGCTTGCAACGACAAACGGAGGGGCTCTTCTGGGAAACATCGACGAGGAAGGATGAGTGGAGCGAGGAAATGTAAAAGGAAAAGAAGAAGGGTGGGGGGGAAACAAAGGAAAGGGAAGAGGGGGGAGGGGGAGAAGGGAACCGGAATTGGATACACCTTCGCTTGGCCACGTGCGGGAAGAAGCGCTCGATGGTGAATTAACCCACAGACGATCATCTTTCCTTGGGAACTCGTGTTTTCTTTTGTTTTCCAAGAATTTTTCCGGCCATTCCACTTTAAAGACGTAAGACTCCCCGCCCCCCTGCCCTTCCTGATGGTGTGGCTTAGGGGGGCAGAGAGAAATCGAAAGGACAACCCAACGAGGGAAAGCCAAGAGGGACAAACATTAAAAGGCGATTTCGCTGAAATGACCCAATGAATGCTGCTGAGTTTGCTGAGAGTTGAGCTTTACTTAAGAGTCAAGGCATTTTTTTCAATTGTCACTGCCTTTTTTCTTTTCTTTTCTTCTTTTCTTTTCCAAAGTTTCCCCCTCTTCTTTTTTAAGTGTTCCACCATTGACGTACCGATATCTTAACGATCCAACAGTGTAGATCACAGGGGGCGGGGGGAAGGGGAGGGGGAACGTATACGTTAAGGTAAAAAAAAAATTAAATTAAAATTAACACACAGCGTAATGGTTTTTTGGGGGGAAAGTATTAAAAGAGCCTTGATTTTAAAAGAAAAAAATGTAATTTAAGAAAGTTTATTATAAAGTCAATTCAGCAAAAAAAAGTTATAAAAGATTTGCTACAAAGTATAGAAAAAGGTATAAAATAAAATTATTGTTTGAAATGAGGATGCAGTTTTATTTTTTAAGAAAAGGTGAAGGTATATTATTATATATAATTTTATTATTATAATAATAATGGTATATATAATATATAACGCTTATATTATATATAGTTATTGACATGTGCTTTCTTCAAGTACATGGAGTAATGGTTTACTAGAGCCTAGCGAGACGCGGGGCAGGTTTTAAGAGGTGCAAGTGGGGAGACGCGAGAATGCCAGATTCTCACATGCGACAAGAATTCTTGGTGCTAAGGGAATAAGAGTCACCCTGAAATCGATGAGATCAGAATGAAGGCTTAACTCTTGGGTTCTTACCGAGCTGTGTTGAGAGCAAAGCTGATGGTACTTTTTTGTGTGTGGAAATAAATGCAGAGCTTTGTTTATGTTTATGTTTAATATTTATCACTATAAGGTAGTTTGCTTTCCCTTTCTCGGAGTTCCGGGGGGGAGGGTTTGTGGCTACATCTCCAAATGGCCCGTGGTTTATAAAGATGCTAAAAGAATGATGGAAAGCTACCTTCAAAAAGCTGCCTTCTCTTTGTGGGATTTCCACAGCGAATCCTAAGCAGGCTTCTTTGGAAGCGCACCTCATTGAAAACAAAGGCTCCCATTTTCGGGGGGGGGGTGTTAACCATTGGAGTCCCATGCTATCAGAACCATAAGAGACAATGATCCCCAAACGGATGCTCTTGGGGGGGGTCACCCGCTTTCCCTTCTCTAGGACCTTTGAGACTCTATATCGCTTTGAGCCCCCAATCCTTAAGATGCTGATGAGATGGGGGGCGTGAGATGAGGTGAGGCCGCCGCCCTAGACTCAGTTACTTGGGAGTAAGTCTCGCTGAACTCATGAGGGCTTACTTCTGTGTCGGATGGCCCTGTAAGTCCCCTTGATTTCAGCGGGACTTTCTTTGGTGTGGACATGTTTACTAGCATTGCACTGCCCTTACGAGGGTTTTTTTTGGGGGGGGTAGAGCGTATATATCTACAGATATACATATGCTAACTGAAATTAATAACTAGATTGTCCACCCACCCGGGGTGCGACTTAACAGACTTCAATAGCACTTATCATCTTTATTATACACAATAACTCGAGCTGTTATTTTATATACTCTCTCTCTCTCTCTCTCTCTCTCTGTGTGTGTGTGTGTGTTAGTTACAATGTAATATAACATACAATCATAATATATAAGAAAAATCTAATATACAATAGTATATTTTTCCATTTTATGGCCTTAAAAGGCGGACCACAATAAACCTTCTCAAAATACAAGGCTGCGTGGATGTGTGCGCTTAATGCACCCACGAGCAGAGCTCACCGTGGTCGGTTTTGCTTCTCCTAATCCTGGAAACTATGCCCCTGGATCTGTCGACAACACTAATAAATGGGGGTGGGGTGCATATATATATTGGTTTATTGTGGTCCCCTTTTAAAGGCCATAAAATGGAAAATATATTATTGTATATTATGTTTTTCTTAAAAATATATAATATAATATAATATAATATAATATAATATAATATAATAATATAATATAATATAATATAATATAATATAATATAATATAATATAATATAATATAATATAATATAATATAATATAATATAATATAATATAATATAATATAATATAATAAACTTGAGCTGTTAAGTGCTATTGAAGACTGTTAAGTGGCGCCCAGACTGTTAACTGGACAATCCAGTTTCAGTTAGCATATGTCTGTCTATCTGTTTGAGGTTTGCAATAAGCTCTCCTCAATACCTTCTACTTACATTGTAAGGGGAAAGTAAGGGCGTCTTTCCCTGAGACCTTTACCAAAGGAGTAACTTCTCCCACAAAGGCTCAAAGAGCACGCGAGTGTCTAATGGTCGACTCCTGCACATGTCTACGCAGAAGTAAGTCCCATTAATTTCCATGGGACTTGATCCCAGACAGTTAAGTGGGTATAGGATTGCACTTTTATTTATTTATTGTGAAATTTGTATACCGCCCTTCACCCGTAGATCTCAGGGGGGTTCACAACATAACGTTACAATATTAAAAACCCAACATACAAAACAAAAATAAGAACAAAACGAAACCAATAACACCCCCCCAAAAAAGGCTACTAAGCGGTTTACAAAATATAAAAAAACAAGCTGGACTCAAACTTTATACATAAATATCCATATTTAGGATACATAGTAACACAATCCGTTTAAAACAGGAGACTTAAATTCAGAGATTAAGGGGATGCCCGCGCGCATTTCGTTGTTTCATTTAGCCCCGCTGGTGTCCTGAGTTCGAATCCTTTGGAGAAGGAATGTTGCTCAGCGGTTCGATCCCCAGATCTCCAGGTGGGAACCCTGGAAAGCCTCTGCCAGTCAGAGCCGACAAAACTAACGTGGGTGTGGACCAATGACATGCCTCGGTTTAGCTGTTTTCCATGTCTTCCCCAACAACCCCCCTGTCGTTTTGATCCAACCTCTCCCTCCATTTATTATCTGCTTTGTGGTGGAGGGCAGCGGGCCCCATTTTTATAAAACGAAAACCCTGGAGCTTGGAAGCTGATCTTGAGAATTCTTCCGGAATTATTTAAGCTTCAGTTGCAGTTGGCGTTGCATCCCGGAGCCTCTATGCAGAATCAAACGTAAATATGGTGGTTTCGTTTGTTATTTTGGAGAGATGCGAATGTCTGGGCACGGAAAGGAGGCGTGCTTATTACGTGTGTTGTCTTTGTAAAGATTCCTGCTCTTGCCCTCGCCTGCTTTTAATCTGCTGTGCGCGACAATGTCTCGCGGTGGAGGGGATTAGAGAGGCGCGCGCGCGCACGCGCGCGCCGTAAAAGCAAGGAAGGTTGTCTTGGCGCAACGAGCCCCTTCCATGCTGAACGTGGCGCATTGCAAGCGCCGCGGCGCGAAGTGTAAGCAACGGCTAAGCGTAACAGCCCATAAATCAAGCACGGGGGGGGGGGGAGTCAATCTGCATTTCCCCGATGGGTTGAATCCCAGCAACAAATGTGCCCAGGAAGTGGAGCCAGGCTGCAGGCAGCGCCAGACTTGCAAACGTTGCGCATTCTTCTTCACCGCCTTCTCCTTTTTGGTAATGATCAAATAACAGACCGTCTGGCCCAGCTTCGCAGCCAAGAACAAGAGTCTGGGCTCTCCAGAATTTCTTCTTCTTTTCTTCCTGCACCCACGGCCCGTTGCGGGTGGCAACGTGGCCTTGTCTTTTTCCCCACTAGATGTTGCTTGAGATCCTACGACGCACAGCGCAATCCTAAGCATACCCGCCGTGGTGGGATTGGTTGGTTGGTTGGTTGGTTGGTTGGTTGCTAACAACCAGATTACGCCTTTGCAAATGCTGGCGATCCCATCCTATGAATGGATTCCTTAGAGTCGGGGCGGCACTAGGAAGGTTTTGCAAAACCAAGATGCATTGTTAAACGTGCCAAAGAGGACGGGAAACTGCTGTAACGTGACCGTAGCACCTTTCTATGCACAATAATTGTATCTTAGTAATAATGATGCCAAGAATAGTTGGATGGGGAGCGCAAGTCAGTAGACGCGACTCTACCAAAGCTGATGCCATAATAAATTGGTTCGTCTTTCAGAGGCCACGAGACTCGTTGTCGTTTTCATATGGGTGCAGTTATTCTTTAATAATGACAATAACTGTTGCTGTTAAGATTTTAATTTTAACTCTAGCTAGTAAAACACACACAGAGGGAGAGGGAACAGGGGGAACTGATCTTCCCAATCTCCAAGCAAATTCTCTTTGTCAAAAAAACCTTCGCTGGTGAAAGTAAAGGGACACTTTTGAGGGGCTTTATGATGCTTTTATATGTGTTGGAAGCTGAGTACTATTATTATTATTATTATTATTATTATCATCATCAACATCATCATCACCATCATCAAACTAGTCTTGTGTCTAATAATAATAATAATAATTTCTTAAGACTAGCCAAAATTCAACAGGGTTGGGACCAGGCAGAGTTTCCTCCTTAGTCCCCAGCCAGCCTCTCAGCAGAAAAAGGTATGCGGGGTGGGTTAGGGTTAATTTGGATGGGTAGAGAGATGGATGGATTAAAATATGCTGTGGGAATAATGATGGATGGGCAGAACTTGATGATGGAGTGTAGAACGAGAAAAGAGGGACAGAATTAGATCAGACTGATGACAGAAACAGATAGGCGCCTCTTCAGAGCGGAGGTATATTTCAACGTGACCCTGCCCATGTCTACTCGGAAGTAAGTCCCGCTCAGGTCAAGGGGACTAACCCGCATATTTGTTGTTCAGAGGACTGCAACTAGCCTTAAAGTGGGGGAAGGAAACCTCCCCGTTTGGTGACCGGGTGGAGATTTCATTTTCAGGAATAAAAAGGAAATAGGCGCAAGCTCTTCCAGACTCTCACCCTCTCTCCCACCGGGATCTTTCCTGCCATAGAAATACAAAGAATCAGCAGTAGGGAAGGCCTTCAATAAAGGGTCGATCTGCATCTCCTCGGTGTATTTCCGAGCGCGCATGAATTATGAATAACCCACCTTCTCTTGCTCTATAATTAGAAACCACCCGATTGCCAGCGAAGATTCGTGTCTACGGGTGTGCGATATATATAGAGATATAGATATACAGATATATGTGTGTGTGCGTGTGTGTCAAAAATATATATATTTGTTATATATAAGTGTGTGTGTGTTGTGATTTGACAAAGCAGCTGGCCAAAACCAATAATTTCCCATGTAATTTCGGAGGAAACTTGGAGGATTTCTGTTTTATTTTTTTACTAGCCGATTTCTCTTGTGTACAGTACAGTGTCTCGCGTTGGATATATGTGTGTGTGAGAGAGAGAACATTGCAGGAGACGTCTGGTGGTGGGCGGAATGTCTGGATTCCGAACGTGTAATCGTTATTTATGCAATATTTTTTTTGACCGGGAGATTGTAAATTGCTCCGGTTTTGGTAACAGTCTTCCTGGAAGGTGTTTTTCAAAGGGGGTGGGGTGGGGAAGGCAAACAAGGA